TAGAGAGGGGCTCTTCCTGCATAAACAAACATAATCTAATGAAAATCAAATGAAATTACTCAGAAACAGAGACGTTTATGGCAGTATTTTCCATATTTTACAACTTCCTATGGCGAGGAAATAACAAAAGAACTTTATTAGGCAAGCCGAAAGGCAGTTAAAGGAGGAGTGTGGGTGTTGGTGTGGGAGTGGGGCGGGAGAGTATCGAACAGCATCGAAAAGAACATTATTGAAGCTGTCAGCTCTGACCGAACTAATTTTTGGACTTAATTTAGGTGAGCCTGTCCTACACTTTAGTCCACTCCACTCCACTCTGGGGCCCAAAGGCAATCGGCAATCGTATTATTGGCATTATGATTACCCACCCATTCCCATGCCCATCCTCCATGGCCCAACATGGGGCAACATCAGCAGCCGAGGCAACAGCAATTTCAACTTCCGCCTACGACATTTTGATGGAGGCGCCTAAAACTCGACAAATGCTGCCTGCAGGAAATATTAAAGCACAAATCGACGACGACAACGACTAAAGCTGTTGACTTGTTCAGCAGAGGGGCGAGAGAAGGGGGCGTGGTGCTGGCCATACTTGAGTCGGGTCATAAATGGACAGTCGCTCGCAAATTGTCATTGGTCACGTGCAGATAGAGAGAAGGAGAGACCCAGAGACCAAGAGACAAGCGTCAAGCGACTGGGTAAAGGGAGAGAGACGAAAAGACTTTGTTGCTGTTTTTATTTGAAAATATAGAAATAAAAGGGAATACGAACACAAAAAGAAACGACACAAAGGAAATATAAGCATGGAAAGTCGAAGATTTAGCTACTCTGGCCAGAGATCGAGAGATACTGGGAAGGTTGTGAAGGATATAGCGATACTATTTTAATAGTAAATAAAAAAATAAATCTGCTACATATTCCAAACTAAGTCACTAATTTTGAAAAATGCCCAAAATCGTAATACCCTACCGCAAAGGGTATCCAAAATCAAATAAGACACATTTAACGACAATTGACATTGCTGTTGCTGGACTTTCTGTAGCTACTGTTGTGGAAATTGCTACTGTTGCTGATGGCGTCATTTGAATCATTGGCAATTTGTCGTCGTCAATTGTTAGCCGGATTGTCGTTTGCTGCTGCTGTTCTCGTCCCATCCATCGTTCAGGTGTTCAGGCCAGAGTCTATGTCGGAATCTGCTCTGCTGTTTGTAAGGAACTGACTTGCACACCCGACACATATCATTCCATTTATAGATATTGTTGTGTTCGAGAGTAGTTCGGTCGCACTCCCTGCTGTTGGAAAGAAAGCATAAACATTTCGGATTTGATTTATTTACTGATGTATGGGCAAGTTTTTTTTTTCATTCTATTGTGCCATTGTTTGGCGCCAGGAAAAAAGCTCACACTGTGCGCTCATTGGAGTGCTTTCTCCCAGAGCGAGCCCCTGCAGCGCGCAACAACAAATGATCTGAATAATTACCTCATCGACATGCAGCTTAGGGATCACTTGAGGCGATTGTCAAAATATTTTCACAGTTGCAGGCAAAGCAAATAAATAAATCAATAACTTTGAAAAAACAGATCGATGGCTCCTCCGCGTTGGATGCAAATGCACGGATGACGGATGGACTGGATAATTGTTTGTGGCACTTGGGCGCTTTTGTTTGTTTTCTCAAAAGTTCTAAATGAGCTCTCCGAATGGCTGTGCACCCGGGGGGCATGCAACTGGGTTAAATGTGGATGCGGGGATGCAGGAGGAAATAGAATAGACTTTGGAAAGGGATTCGGTGTATTGAGGAAAGAGTTGATTTTTGAAACACTCTTTAAACCAAAGAATACCCTATAATCACACTGAATTTCCGTAGAATCATCTCAATTCTATTCGAAACCCACTCCAAATTCACTTTTATTTCTTCGAATTATTAAAATTGAATGGGAACAATAAAATTGTTAGCTTTCAGCTGGGAAATGAAATAAGGGGAGAAATAACTCGCTCATCAACATCAAAGATTAAATATTTTATTGAGAATTTCCAAGAATATCGAATATGCACTCCGACCGAACATGGGGCATATGTGACACATGATTCCCATATTCCACGAACTTGAATGAATTTTTCGTTGGTTCATAAATTGGTTGGGTTCCCCAGCCGCTCGAGGACTGCAAACGAAAGAATTAGTTCTTCAATGCAAGAGCCTCTGCATAGTATATGTCTCTGTGTTTTTGACGGATAAAAAGGGAGAGAAACAAGCAAACAACTTGGTCATATCATGTTGACGCCCACATTAAGTGGCACAATTATGAGGCGACAACATCGGGGCCACGGAACGAACAACATCAACATCTTGCTTCGTTGCTTTCTTGCCAGCAGCCAGGCGGTCGCTTGCCTCACTGCGATGTTCCGCTTAATTATAGAATACATGAGCCGGGAAATTTGTTGCATGCACCATTAGCAGCCAAATGTCCATCAGTCAGCCAACAGATCCAACGAAATTTGTCAAAATATTTCCCCGCCAATAAAAATAGAAATCAGAACGACACTTAAATGCACTTCCCCACCCATCCACTGACTACACATTTGTCTAGAGTCGTCTGTGGCGGCGGCGATCATTCAATCAATATCAATCCATCCAATTCGGAGCGTGTGACAATAAATCTCTTGGTGGCCCCGAGGCGAGGGTCAGAGAGGAGCCCCCGCCCCACAACAACTAATTTCCGCTATGCATCAAAAATCAAACAGATCGAAATAGATCTGAGAATCGGAATCGGAATCGATTGCAAAAGTTCAGAGTCATTTGTGATATGTTTGTTGTGCGTCTGTGAACATTTGTCCGTTCGGCTGATTGCAATTAGTAATTGAACTCTTTCTCTATGGAGAGCGGTGGCATCTCCTCTTTTTCCCCCCAGTCCATTTGTGTCTGTAACTCATTTCGTTGTTCGTCGCCTAATCGCTTTGATCTGTTGACCCAAATCCAAATACAAATTCCATTTTCATGTCGGGGCCATAACAAATTGCATTCGGGGGCCCTCAATGAATTATATCATTCATTCATCCGATTACCAATTGCTTTGCGTTGCGTCGCGTCGGTTCGATTTTTACTTTATTTTATTTCTGTGGCGCCTCTCAAAGCCCTCTCGTGGGGAGAGGGCCCTTAATTTGTTTAAGTGTGTTTATGCATATCGCTGGAGGAGGATTGCGATTGCCTAATGGCAAATGTTACTTATGGCTCCGAAATCCGGAAATGCTAACGAACGAAAGTGCCGAGTGAGTGGCAGGAATGATCGACACTTTTTGGGTATTGTTTCTCATTAAGAAATTCTTGTAATTTAGTGAGCGATTGAACCGCTTAAGGAATATTTATGGTTAATCCAATGGGCACAACCATGTCCAATTTCAGGCACATGTTGAGGCTGCTCAATTGGTATTCCTTTGGATCTGTGTCTTATACCCAAACAAGATTAAGAAATTTAATTAGAAACATTCCCGACTAGATCTTTATGTTTTCCGTTTCTAATTTGTTTTTATTTCTATACGAATAATAGTTCTGAATTGTACATATTTCCAGAATAAATATTAATACAATTGACATTTAAATTTAATTTGTATCATAATTATTGCAGATTTAATTCATCAAACATATTTTTTTCAATTCCCTTCACATTTTAACTCCCATTTAAGCTTTAGATTTGGTCTATTTCATTCCCCTCTCATTATATATTTATACAATTCAAATTTTATTTCTATTCAATTCCCATGTAATTTTAATACTATTACTACTTTTTGCTCAATATAATCCCATTCTATTACCCATTGCTCTCTCCTACAACCACAATTTCAATCCATTTATAGGCCATTCCATTATTTAATTTACATTAATTAACTTAAAATACCATCATTGTATGTATACACTCCACATTTCCTATATCCTCAATTTTCCAGATGCCACATACATATCCCCAAATCGCGTAATTTTCCTGTCAATCATTAAAAATTCCCATCCCCCATTTATCGAATAAAAATGCATTAAAATAATTGAATTTCGTTGCCAAAAGAGCGCGGAAGAGAGCCAGAAGTGGAAGAAGGTTCCAATGGATGGGGAAGAACCAGAATTGTGAGCGTGGGGGGAGTGGTAGGGAGGTACTATAGCTAATCTAGATAAATATTGATTAATATTTTGGAAAGGCATTCATTCAGCGTAAACGTTCATTGAATGGCTGGGGCTGCGCATGCCACATATAGGCACGTACGACAACGCCCTGTTGTTGGTGTTGCAATACGAAATATGGAAAAATATAATTTGTATAATTACAATGCCTCTTGATAATACCAAATACACATACCAATCGCTCCACGACACCCAAGAAAGAGGCAACACCCTGAAAATGGGGAAAGAGCAGTCAGCGTGACATCTAAGTATGTATTGTCGGTCTCCAATGCTCGTGTCACGAGCCCATCTCCAGAGGGGGGCCGCACAACTAATTGAAGCCGCAGTCCCCCCACCCTCTGGGCGGAGAGGCACGCACAGCGCCATGCCATGCCATGCCATCGATGTTGATGGCTGTGGAGGCGCCACTCGCTGTGCGGTGACACTGCTACGAAAACGATGTCTACGATGATGATGTCTCCATGTTGGAATCCGCACAATGGGACTGACTGGTGCTGTCGTCTCCGAAACCCTTTCAGCGACGACTGTGTTCCTCCTCTTATCATCAAAGGGAAATCAAGCTGTCAGTCAATTTATAGTTTTGTCAGTACACAAAAGCAAGGCAGCCAGAAAAAGACGGCAAGCGCGGTGTCAGGGTCAGGTCAGAGTTCACATATATTTCAATTAAGTGAAACCACAAAAGCGTTTGTTCACCACCCCCCCACAGCGCCCCAAAAACATCCACAAAGCCATAGAAATTATGCATTCACATCTCAAATATGTATAAGCATATGTAGATATATATCTGTATCAGACATTATCATTTGTTAATATGTATTATACATTTGCCTACCTTTTGCAGGACCCCTATCGGAGGTACTGACAGCCGTGGGCTCGGAGGTGGCGCTACCCTGCGATCTGCTACCAGGGACAATGATTGCGGACAAGGTCCAATTGGTCATCTGGTATCGTCAGGGCAATGTGAAGCCCATCTATACGTAAGTATCTAATTTCATGAAGATATACTTTAAAAACTTTATTAAAGATGAAGCTGCATAGAAATGTAAAGTTAAAGAATCCGTGGCTGTGATTTCTCTTGTGATTTCTTGTACTCCAATTTGTATAAAATCCTAATTATTATTTAATCATGGCATAGGCTTTACATATTCGCTAACTTAATGTACTTTTATCCATAAAATAAGCTACCGAATTACCTTTCCTTTCCTTGTTTCCCAATTTCCCTTTTAAAATATGCCTTAAATCCACTTCTTTACTCAATTTGAAGGATTTAAAAAAACCTTCTCTTTCCCCTCATGGGATTATTCCACAGTGACACCCCGCTAAAGTGTCAGCTGAATAAATTTCACTTAATAATTCTCTCTTTTTTATTTTGTTGTTGGCATTAGCCAAAGACCCAGAAGGAATACGGTTTCGATTCCATTGGGAATTTCAGCCAATTATGAATTGAGGCCCAGAGAGTAGGAGGAGGCAGACAGATACACTCATAGCTGGTAGGTCGGGGTGGGGTTGTATCATTATAAATTCTATTAACGTGAGGCATTTATGTTGAATTTAACGATATAAACAATATTTACACAAAAGAACCTACGTGCATCGATGGGGAGGGCTTACAGTGGAGACTCTCAATACTCGTTCCCCCACTCTCTCTTAACCTGGTTCCAAAACAATTTTTAACAAGCTCATCATCAGGCAAAATAAACGAAAAAGCGAAGGAAATACTCGTTTATTGTAAGGCAGTGTAAGGAAATGTCGCAAGGTTTATGGGTTGTAGGAAGGACAGGGGTGGAGGATTGAAAGGTGAGTGAGTAGAGAGAGAGAGGGTGAACATGTGAGTGAGTGTAGTATGAAAGCCACTGACTGACTGACTGACTGACTTGCCTGACTGATTGGCAGCTCAGCAATTCTGTTCAAAGGTCGCTCGTTGGCAACTAACTTTTTTTTTTTTTTGTTGATATTCCTTTTGCCATTTTCCAGGAAGAGCCAACAAGGCAGAGAGACTCAAGGCAGGAAAAGATGGAGGTGTACAGATGCGCAATAGACCAGAAATTGATTTTCTTTATTTTATTTTCCATTAAATTCATTTCTCTTTTTCGTTGAATAAATCGTAAAATAAGGAAAGAAGGATAGCTTTTAGATTCTTTGGATACCCTTCAAGTGGGATATTTTCTCGGACAGATATGGTATATATAGTCATCTGATTCCGTTCAAAATTGTTTTAGATATGAAGAATTTCTATAGAAATATGCCAATACCCACCCACAGACTCGTTCCCCGTATTTATCTGCCTTCTTGTAGCTCCAAATCTCGTCGCTCTTTTGCTGGACAAACACCTGGTTCAAACACGTGATACCCTCTTTAAAGAGTATATTCCGAAAAATCGATGGATGTCAAGTCAAAGTGTCAATGCGCAGGCTGTAGGGATGGGATGTGCATTCATGTGGTCCACAGTGTGACCTCGCTGGCGGCGATTGCAATTACCACAGCCACTCGAACGTGAGAGGCAAAGGCGGGAAAGTGTGTGGGGTGTGCTTCAGCTTTTATGACTGCATAAAGTTAGGTTTATGCAGATATCTCCTTCCTCCTCATTCTGCCATTCCTCTTTGAGTTTGTACTTTTCACTCGCCCGCATTTCTTTATTGTTTTCCATCAATTTTAATTTGCCTTTTCTACACTTCATAAATTTTTGTATTCTCCTTCTGTTGTTTCTGTTGTGGTGGGGTTCTCTTTGCGTGCTGGAAATTTCAATATGGCCAAAACGCTCAACAAAAGGTCGAGAGATTAATTGCATGAGAAATTTGTTTTCCAATTGCCATGGATAACCCATGGGGGGATAACCTCTTTGCCCATTTAACCCCACTTCCAGCAAGGTATGCTTACCGCTCTCTATCTCCCTCTCACTTCTTGGAACATAATTTAATTATCTTTCAAATCCATTAACAAATATCCCATCCATCTTGTGCCACTTACTTCTGTGTTCCATTGTTGGCTTTGGCTTTTCGAGTGCATTTCCCAATGTTTTTGTGGGCTTCAATGATAAATCATCCGGAGAGCCCAGAAATGTGGGGGGGGGGGGCCCTCATGATCTATTCAAAATGTGAGATAATCTTTGGTGAAAAAACGGGCGATAATCGAGCAAAGTTTTCACAACTGAACTTAAACTGGATTTTCCTCAACATCAATCTAAACTCTACGATTCTGGGTTGCAGTAGAACAGATTTTTCCCATAATTCACGGCGTGGAGAATTTAAAATGCTTCCATGTGGATTTTTATTACCCAAAAGTCGCCAAACGAAATTTTAATGTCTTGCGGCCTTTTTAAAGCTACTTAATGCCAGAAAAAACCACAACAACAAAAAAAGAAAACCAACATTTAATTCTCATGGAAAACAAAGTGAAATAAAAAGTATAAGTAAAACTGGAATCCGATTAAGCCGCAAGGCGAAACAGAACAAGCGCTAAATTGATCAATTAATTAATTCAACTATAAAATAAAAATGGAAAAGCGCGCTTCTGAATCAACGCACATCCCATTACATACAGATGTACATGGGGATGTACATATGTACATACTCTACTATTAAAGGAAAAAGCAAACAAATTCGCCTGGTTTCACTCGAATGTTTAAATCAAACCAGACACAAGAGTCACCCCCACTTAACTACACTCTCAGAATGGACAACAAAAATGGTGAAAAAGAAATGAAGATCAAATCTGATAAATCCGATTATTGGATACCCTCTTTTTTTCCGATTATTATATGAGAAAACAACATTGTTGAAATTAATGAATTCAAAAATATACCATGAAGAATTCTATGAGAAACAGAAAGACACACATCATAGTTTATGGGTCGGCTATTCTCTGCCCTGCAAGCCCTTGCATGTTCACAACTCAATGACGAAGGGAGGGAGGAGGGATAGAGAAAACTACGCAAAATTGTTTTCAGCTTCTGCTGGCTGATCTGTTTGCTGATAAAAGGCATAGCAAAACTCTCTGACAAAAACCGGTTTCTCATGCGATTGAGAAACGCTTTCGTCTGCCTGTTGCATATATGTATTTCCACAAACACAATGCACCCCATGTTCTCCACGACTAATGGGTATACAAAAATGTATAAAAAAGAGAATGAAAACCAATTTAAATGTGACCATTTAAAAATTCTAAAAAAAAGCTGGGAATAAAAACTGAAAGCAAATGGAAATCAAAAGTTCTGTAAATGCATTTAACGATTTAGTTCGTAGATAGAAGAGAGGTGGTGTGGTATGACGTGGGGGTGGGTGAGGGTGGAGGCGCGAGCCTTTGGGCCTGCGTTGACATTTAATGCGGCACTTTGTCAAAATGCATAGAACTCGGAGGCCATAAAACAAAAAACGTTTGGCCATAACAATAAAAACAAAGTTGCTTTTCGGTCATTCATTGCACTGTTATCTGTCTCCCTCTCACTCTCTGCTCTCCTCTCTCTCTGGTAGTAGTATCTGGTCTCTGGAGATAGTTGTGTGGGTCCCAAGGCGAAAGCTAATTAAGTATTCTATTTTTAGTAGATTCCCTGGATTTGACACACATTTCACTTGTCCCGTCGTTGTCTCCTCAATTGCTTGAACAATAAAATCAATGAACCAATGGCTAACACAATTTTGGCCTGGCTCTCTGGCCTGGCCATTGTAAGGTGTGTTTTTGTGTAAAACGTGTCAAAGGGGTCTTTTATTATGGAACTCAATTTGATGGTCAATTAATTGTCTCCGAGCACAGTGACGGAAGGTTTATTTTGATGGTGACCGTGAGGGGGGAACGCTGTGAATTGTAAGAAAAGTTTAACTAAGAAATTTATACTTGAATTAATTGGATGGTTTTTTTTCTTTTTGCTGCAAGATATTCCCTTAGCTCTATCTCAAGTTTAGAACGCGTTATAATCCATTTTTTGTATGTATTTGTGATTCCCTCAGCTCTCTCTTCTTGGATACTCCTTCGAAACTTTGCCTGACGGACCATTCAATCAATATCTTTGGCTATTTTCATAGTTCTTTTAGGTTCTATCTGTATTTTCTTGAGGTTATTAACTTAGTTTTCTTCTAGAAACTTTTTAGTTTTTTCTTTCCTTCCAAGAGTTTCCGTATGCCATTAAATTATGTTTTTCTTACCTTTTTCCAGCTTTGATGCCCGTGGACGTCCCCTGCATCAGGCCATACCCTGGGCGGACGACACTGTGTTCAACAAAAAGGCCCACTTCCACTACGACACAAATCCACCCGCATTGCGTATCAAGAATATTCAGACTGTGGATGCGGGATTGTACAAATGCCGCGTGGATTTCCACAAGTCACCGACACGAAATTGGCGCATCAATGTGACAGTTCTAGGTGAGCCTTCCTCTACAATCCCCGCTCCCCTAGAGAGAGCTGTAGAATTGACTTATTTCTTTCCCTTTGCAGTTCCACCCACTCAGCTCACGATACTGGATCATCATGGCGCCGAGATACGCGACCAGACAGCGGGACCCTATCTCGAAGGCGACAGCATCGACCTGACGTGTCTGTCCAGTGGGGGAGTGCCACCGCCGAGGGTCTCGTGGTGGCGCGAACATGCCCTGATCGACGACTCCTTTCAGGTGCTGCCCGACGGCTCGGTGCGCAATGTCCTGCGCCTGAAGAACATCCAGCGAAAGGATCTATTGACGGTAGGTAGTGACCTCTCCGGGTCCAGTGCCCTTTATGTGGTTGCGGCCTACTCCAAATATCGTAAGCCATATTTACGGCTGTCGCTCTGAATGGAACAAAGCCTCCTCCTCCGTTTCGGGGAGCACAATGCTTTTCTGCTGCTCCCTGAGCGCGGCTGGCCATTTATTTTCGGTGTGCCACAATGAGCAGTGGGCCCCCATTAATGACAGCGCTCCGTGTGGCAAGCGCGACCGCTGTGGCCGCACAATGGCTAATAGAAATCAAATGCAACGCCCTGCATTCCCTGGGTGGCTTGTGGTTGCTCTCTCTCACTCTCTCTCTCTCTCTCTGTTCTTTTCTGTTGCTCTGCTGTTGATTCTAAGCGGATTTCCCTCGGGCTCCATGTAATGAACATTATTGTTGCGCCGCACTAATCCCGCCATTCAGTTGGGTTTGCTCCTGCCCCATCCATCCAGTGGGTTCAACAAATTGTTGGCCTGCCAAGTCTTTTGTGCTGGTTCTAGTGGCTGGGAATGGATTGGAATCGCTTGAATGCTGGTCATGTAATACCGAAAGTTATTGGCTTAAACCTAAAGATGAGGAATGAACATGAATGAACGTTGTGAAGAGCTAGAGCGAGAATTTATAGGAAGTTTTCATAGGAATATCATGAGTGGAAAATACTGCAAGACATAAAGATAAGTGAAAAGAGCATAAAGATGACAAATTTTAGATGCCAGAACCCACTCAAAATTCAATGATGAGTAAATTGATGTAACATTGATTGATATCTACTGATTGATTGAAATATAACCTTTTTTTGTGGTTTAAAAGTGTAAACTCGTAGTTCGAATATAATATAAAAAAAATGATGCTATAAGTGAAGTATCGCTGAAGAACAATTAAATCAATATTTAATTCGAGTAAAATAGTAAAGTAGAAGCCTTGTTCTGCATTTTATATTGAAATTCGTTCAGAAAGTAATATCAAATTGTAATTAAAGCATTCTAGAAGAACCCTGCGAAAACACTGCATAAAAAATACCATAAATCAATTATTAAACATTATATTTAATTTCTAACGCTTGAGTTACAATCGATTTAAATGGAAAATAGACAACACAAGAACCGTTCGAGATCCATAAACACCTAGAGGCACCTCGATGGCCCACTGTGCGTGAGTGAACCCTCTTAAGACCCCCTACCTGCCTCAATAGGAGAACCGGGACTACAAAGATACATATTGTGTAACCAAATAGAAATTTATGACCTATTTTCCAATCGAGAAACGAGAAACGAGACTTCTGCTGGCAATGCGGCAAACCCCAAAAGTTATGCAAATATTTTGATGGCTCCGACAACGTTACAATTTTCGTTTTGGCCCAATAAAATGGCCCGAAATGTGTGTGTGTGTAGTATGTTGTTGTTCGAAATGTATATGGGCCCAGCGAGTATCGAATTACTAGCAACAGTCCGCCAGCCAACCACTAATATTCAGAAAATATTCGTAGCTGGAGAATTTATGTTATCGAATATAGCCGTACATTTGCGAACCTTTTGAACTCTTGTGTTTGGTTTCGATTACTGACTGTGTGTCTGGCCGAACAGAGAGCTTGGGGCATAATTGATTAGTGTTTGTGTGAGTCTCGTGTAGCAGCAATTAGAAGTAGGTAAATGTTGGACAGGTTGATTTATCATCTCTCCTCCCGTTTTATTGGATATTGTTATTAGTAATTGGACATCATTTTAATAATGTCTATATAAATCATTATATTTCCTTTCAGATGTACACCTGCCAGGCAACCAATGGTCATGTGGTGCCGGCCCTCTCAAAGAAAGTAATCCTCGACTTGAATCGTAAGTAAAGCTCTTTAAATATTTCCATTCATAATGAGGCACTTGCTCTTGTTTTGGGGGTTTGCCAAAACAGTTCAAGGACAGTCAGAGGGTGGTGGGCTGGAATGGCAGGACTAGTGGGCGTGACATTTCGCATGGAAATTAATGTAATTAAAGTTTTGTCATTGCCTCACAAGGACGCGCATGTCGCATGTCGCACGTCGCACGTCGACTGACTCTCATTCACATTCATGCACATTTATGGTTATGCGGGCGACAGAGGGTGGTCCGGTTTCCATGCTAATCGTATTGCGGGTCCCATGGCGGTGGCGTCCAATGATGGGCATAATAAAATGTGTGTAATAAATAATGAACGTTTCCATAAAGGTCGCCCCATATATGTGTAGCATGTACATAGCTGTGGCGGATATGGAGAGCCTTGAATATGAATTTTGTGCGCTGTGGTGGTCCTTGTGGGGTAATAACTGAATATCGTAAACTTAATCACTCGCCTGATGGCAGACCAATCGCCCAGGGGCTGAATAAAACTAATAGGATCGTGTGAAACCTTTTCTAACTGTAGATATTCCCCATCCCTTTCGTAGTTCCACCGCTCAATCTGCTGCTGCAGGGTCTGAATCATGCAGTGGTGGCCGGCACTCGAACCCATGCAACCTGCACTGCCATCGGAGCTCGTCCACCGCCGCATATAATCTGGTCGAAGGCTGGACAAATCCTAAAAGGAGCCACGCAATCTGTAAGTCATTCATATCACATAGAGAGCAGGTTACCCTGATAATAATAACGAACCATGATCACAGACCTCTGCTGATGGGAATACCACAATTTCCGAGCTAATGCTGATACCCGTACCGGAGGACAATGAGCGGCAGGTGGTCTGCTCCATCTCCCTGAGTGCGGGCATTACGTCGCAGCAACTGCACGAGGGTCACACCACGGTGATGACTACACTGGGCAATGGCAATACGGGACTGTACCTCAAGGATTCGCGCATGCTGAATGTCACACGTGCGTAGAGGTTTTCCAGGAAATTATTAGGCTGCATTAATAGCTAATTTCTCAATCATTTGTAGATGCACCCATTGTCATCCTGAATCTGGGAGCTCCATTGGATCCGAATAATCTGCTCAAAGGATCGGATGTCTATTTGGAGTGCGATGTGAAGGCCAATCCGGCGATAACGCGCGTTGAGTGGTATCACAGTGTGAGTAGCAGCTACATTTGTGTAGATCTATAGCTGAATATCGTAAATTAAAAAACGAAAAATTAAAATAAAATGAATATCGTACCGATTACCCCGGTAAATGAAATAGGATATCGTCAGCCAAATATCGTTAATTGAATAAAGTAAATGCAATATCGTAAATTCGATTTGGTAAATTAAATATCGTAAATTGAATCTCGTAGAGGCAATATCGTAAAGTTAATTGAATATCGTAAATTTTAACAAACTTTCTCGAAATGCTCGTACAAAAAGCGCACATCCCACATCACAACTTTAACGTTATCCTTTGTACTGTTTTGCTCGCACATACACACACTCACACACAAACACACACAGGACAAGCAACTGCACTCGTCGCGCGGCATAATCATCTCCAACCAGACGCTGGTGCTGCAGGGCATCTCAAAGTCCTCGCACGGCCAGTACTTCTGTCGGGCGAGCAACCTCCAGGGCAGCGTGTCCAGCAACGAGGTTTACTTGGACGTGAAGTGTAAGTACCACTCTACCAATCCCCACCCTCCCCCTCTCGAGACCACTAACTTGACTCAACTTAACATCAACCTGCACTTCTGTTTTACACCCCACACCCACACTCTCTCTCCCTCTCTCTCTGCACACCGTAGATCCACCCGTGTGCAAGTCGGACTCAACGATTATACGTGCGGCACTCAAGCAGACAATCAACATCACCTGCGAGGTGGACGCGAATCCACTCGATAATCTAAATTACAAGTGGCACTTCAACAACTCGCTGGAGAGCCTCATCGAGCTGCCCCAACTTGGACCGGTCCTGCTGTCGCTGAAATCGCCTTCCGGGTCCGGTCCTGGCTCCGGCTCGGACCTGGGCGGATATTATCAGCGCAGCAAGCGGAAGCACACACACGGACTGCAGCGAGGGCTGCTCCATGGTCGGCACGGACGCACGGCCAGCATCGTGGACATGTCGGCCATTCGCTTCGAGGACGAGGACTATCCGGCGGAGGGGCACGAGATGGACGGCTATCAGGACTATGGCGAGGAGACGCCCTACACGCAAATGGTCTACTCCAACATGGTGCACAAGAACCATGTGGAGAACAAACAGCCACAGCGGAAGCAGCTTTCCCAGCAGCAGGGCCAGCAGTCGTCGAGTGGACCTGGCGGCAGCAGCGACTCCTACAGCCCTGGCCATCACGCATCCAACTCGGCCAACTCGGCCTCCCTCCAATTGGTGGAGCGAAAGCGGCTGGCCGCACTGCACAAGCAGCAGCATCATCGCCAGGCCGTGACCATGCCCACCACAACGTCGGCGCCCCCACTGAACAACGTGTACAGCTACCACGTGGAGAGCTACGAGAGCTTCGGCGCCATTTCCTGCGTGGCCAGCAGCCCGATGGGCCACAGTCAGCCCTGCTGGTACCACATCCAGCCGGCAGGTGAGTTACCCGCCACTCGGACAGCAGTTCGTAGCGAAAAGATAAAGAAAAACACAGGCAAGGCAGGGAAAGGGATATGCCAGACTCGGTATCTGAACATTTGGATACCCTGCAAGATACATATATCCTTCGAATGGGAGCTAAGCGGGGCTGCTGTCATCTGTCGCATATACCCAAGGCATAGTATCAGAAGGAATATAAAATATATTTAATTAATTTCACATCGATTGGCACACAACAAAATACCAACGCAACAGCAAACATGTTTACTCAATTCGGGCTGTGGTTGTGGGGTGGCATGCCTCGTTCTCTCTGGCCAGTAGATAATTGTTGCACGTAGCCTCCACTCGTGAGGTGAGTGAATCTCTGCTCGTTATTTACATTTGGCCCACAGACTCCTCCGACTCCTCCACGCTATGCCATGCCACGACACGGCACAGCATGGCACGACCGTGTGGCAATTTAACGCGTTGCAATGTCGTCGTCTCATGCGTTGCATGCAGCCTCCACGGACGGTCCATACTGTCCGTTCATCTGGATGTCCCTGACAGCAATAAAAGCCATGTTTACCAACGCCATCTGCATGTTTGCTACTGCCCCTTCCGCTGCTGCTGCTGCTCCAGCTGCCTCTGTTGCACCATTGCAGCAAAGTGCAATCTGCGCGCACGGCGATAATCTGATAATCAAATGCAATAAATTGCCAACGCACAGCATTTATTTACAAAAAACCACCGCTGGCCATGGCCTGAAAACTAGGCAGTTTGTTTTGGCCTTTCCCTTCGGATTTTCCCCCCGGTTTTTTTTTTTTTTTTTTTCCTAAATTTTTTTTTCCCTTTAACCCCCAAAAAAAAAAATTTTTTTTTTTTTTTAAAGTTCTATGGCAGCCATGACATTTCCCATTCAGGGAATTTGTCCACCTGAGGTTCAGGGACTATTTCGCTGTCATTTTCGGAAACGGTTGGCAGCATTAAAAGGTTCTTTGAAGCTCCATTTAAGGAAATATCCCAGGAATGGTGATACAAAATGGCTGAAGAAAATACATCCATTTTTATTGGAGTAAAATCATCGGAAAGAGAAACTTAAGGGCAGAACATTCGAGTCGCAAATACGAACAGGATATTGGAATGAAGAGTATAGGGCGTGATGATGTTTGAACAGTCATTTGCATACCAAATCATAATCAAAACTAATACATGCCATTGTGTCCTGATTTCTTTGATAGACCTTCCCGAAGCTGTGAAGAACTGTACGGCATTTAATGCCACGGCCAATTCGCTGCAAATCCAGTGCGTGCCCGGCTACGATGGTGGCATACCGCAGTACTTCCATGTGCAGATATACGACGAACTTAATCGCCAGATACTCTACAATGCCTCGTACAAATATCCAGAGTTCACGGTGAAGCGTTTGCCCAGCGATTCCGTGTTTGTCATTCGAGTGACGGCTGTGAATGCGCAGGGGCCCAGCAAGGTGGCCCATCGATTGAGGGGTCGGACGCTTTCGGCGCCATTGTTGCGAACAGGTGAGTGTCGGTCTGGTCGGGTGTCGTCACTTCTCGCCACTACGCCACATTGCTCGTTGCTGCATTGTTTTTTCTTTGCAACGTGCACTTTTTGTCATTCAATTTTTCACAATTTCCCCCGTATCGGTTTTCTGCCTTTCCTGTCCATTCCGCAGCCTCGTCGACAGCGGTGCTGGTACAATTGACGCCGCTTCTGGGCGCCTTAGTTGGCGTCATTGCCACATTGATTCTGGTCGCCATTTGTGTGGTGATCTTTATCAAATTCCGCAGCAAGCGCGGTCACCGGCATGGCAATGGCGGGGATGCCACCACCACCGAGGCGGACAAGGGCAGCGCCGAGCCATTGTCCCGCAATATGGGCAGCCATTCCAGCCTGGAGGACAAAAATCCGGATGTGGTGCCGCAGGAGGCAAACAGCGAGGATGAGTTCCACCAGGAGGAGAAGGCCTTCGACCGATTGAATATGGAATCGCAGCGAATTTTGTATACGCCACCGACGCGCATTAACACTGCCTCGCCGCCGCCACCGTCGCTGTCGCCCACCTTCGGCAAGCAGGTGAGAATTCAAATGGGATTCAATTGTTTGGGGATTGGATTTCCCTATTCCCTACCTTGTCGCTTGCACATGATGGAAGGGAGAGATTTAAAGGGAGAGGTAATCGAATAGTAGGCATATTTTCGTGGGGCTTCAAGGGATAGAAATACGATATATAGAAGAAGATAGAGCTGTATCTGTGATAAGAAATAATTTTACTTAGGTGAGTGTCATATGTAGAGTTATACGCAAATATGTATGTAAAATGTATTACAATATGTAGTTAACCAACCATACACAACGACAACTGGAAGGGTAAAAAAGTGCAGCATACTTGCAGGCGACCATTCTAAACATTTTCATTCATAGAGAATATTCATTCAATTTTCTCCCGCACAACTATTACTTACTCCATCCTTTAATTAACACGACAGCAAACAAAATACTTTTACCCAATTTCCTTAATGGCGGGGTTTGTCTTGCATAGAACGAAACCTATTATTACACATTATAGACACTTGACCAATTTGATTTAGGGGGGGAGCAATCTAGGTAGGAGAAGCACAAGCCAAAGGGAAAACTTAAACGGATTCGTTAGGCAAATTAACCTTTTACTTGTGCGTGACATAATTTGGACCTGGACAATATTTGGAAGCGGAGAAAAGTTACGTTAAAGATGATACCAAAATTGTTCTTCAATTCTATTGAAGTTTCATAATTTCCCTGAACTGTCCACTGATTTTCTGATTTACAATCTGCAGGGTATATAGAGCTTCGTCCTGCCACAATCCTTAATTTCACATTCATGCTTCCAATTAGCCGAAATAAATTACACAAATTATTTTCTTTGTGTTTCTGTCTCCTCCACCGCTACCCTACAACTACCACTAACAAAGTTGCTGCTGTTGCCACCCTCCCCTCTCTGTCCGACCACATCCACTGCGATTCTGTAAACAATGTTGTATCATTGTTTGGTTTTTGAGGGGCAGTGAAAAAGGGGAGCAGACCATCAAATTTTGATGAGGAAAATGTTTTTGTGTGTCCAGTCGCCAGTAAAAGTTGAAAAATGTTTGGCTTTTGTTCAGTTTTTCTTGTTTCTCCCCGGTTGTTTTCCCAACTCGCTCTCGAATGCTTAACAAGCTCATTAGAAATTGTTGGTGTTTTGTGGGTCACTTTCGGAACTTTTCGATCAGAATTCCCCCCCTCCCTCCATAAATTTATTTCAGGAGGTGCGCAAAACGAGGCTCCCATCAAAGTTAAAGTTTTGTTTTTAATTATTCGTCAGCAGCAAATTTGTTCTTGTGTTTAATAATTACTGAACACACTATCAACTATTTTTGTTTCCAGTACGGTGAACTGTCGCTGACAACGAACCCCGCCTTCAGCCTGTACAACACACCGCAACGTGCCCCGGCCGCTCAGCGTCCCGTCTACACCGCTCCGCCACCGCTGCTCTCCACCCGAACCCCGCCAAATATCTACACTCGCATTCCGGGCCGTGGTGGTGCTGGTGGTGGTGTTGTCATGCCTGGAGGAGTGGGTGCCAGCAGCTATCACCTGCCTGCGTATGAGACGCGCACCTCACCCACCTCGCCCTACGGCTCCACAACCACCTGCACCATGCCCCTGCTGGGCGGCCAGTCCAACGGTTCGCTGCAGACCAACAGCAGCAGCGGTGGCGGTGGCGCGGCCGGGCTGGGTGCTTGCAACACGCTGCCCCATCCGGGCAGCCTACACACGAGCGGCATCTCGGCGGCGCTGACCAGCTCGGTGACCAGCGGCAACATCACCATCGGCGCCGCCCAATCGCTGCTCACGTCGCCCCGCTCCCAGACCGCCTACACAACGCTGGGGGGCGGTGTGGCACCAGCAGTGTGCGTGCAGTCGCCTCTGCTGTTGGGTGGCGGGGGGAACTATGAGACGGTGAGCTCCTGAGAGTTACCCAATGAGGACATCAAATGTCAGATAGTCTGCATAGGCGGCAGCAGTACGTGCACCACCACTGCGCTGGGCGCCGAGCGCACCACCATCGTCTAAGAGGAGAATCAACAGGAGCAGGAGCAGCAAACAGCAACAGCAAAGTGCAGCGGAGGTAACTGAATCCCAAAAATCTGTATTATAGAAATAAAGTTGCCGCTGACGTGGGTCTCGCTTTAAAAAACAAAACAAAAATTTAAAAAACAACAAAAATCTCTTTCAAAAGCGAAGCGAACAAAACTCTAACAAGACTTTCCGACTTCAAGCAGCAAAAACCACATTATAAGAAAGAACTCTAGATATAGGTTATACATACATACAGACATATATACTGGATATAGCAGTGTTTAGAGCCGAAGAAGTAAAAGCATTTACATACGAGTATATATTTAGTTTACATCTGTACCATAAAAAGAATTTTTGATGCCCCCCAACCCGGAACTTCCTTAACCAAATGTGAGGTTAGGCCCGAACGATCTTTGTGCGCAAATACTTCAGTGAACAAAAAAAAAAAAGAAGAGCTATGCTTGTGAAATGACACGAAATAAAATCCCGAACAGAACACAAAAACTAGTTTAAACTTCAACTAAGAGATATAGCGTAATCGGAACTAGATATGTAAGTGTGTATATACGTACGAGTATATGTGGAATTAGTAACTAAGAAGCAGGTCAGCTAATACTTAAACTAGCCACTAAACGTAGCCTAAACTCAATTGAACTTAGTTAGACCCATTGCGAATCTACGAAAAGACTATCCCCCCTGAATATATATATATATATTAAAATAAAATTACAGAATTTAATGGCATATCTTTATATAAACATAAATACATATAGCACAAAAACCACAAAAACCCCAGCAACAGCAGAGGAAACCACATTAAAGGAATCTGACAAAAACAAAAAAAATAGGCGCAAAACTAGAATATATATACATACATGTGTACATATGTATATCAAAGATACAATACTATATGATATGGGTATATAATTGTGCATGTGCATCGAATCATATTTTGTTAAATGTGAAATGAAATTTTATAAAAATCTGTTGTCGATCAAAAACCTTTATCAAGTCTATATAGAATATGAATATGATATATGTATGATCGATCTGTATGTATCCATAACCAAACAGTGTGCGCGTGCAAAGAAAACCAAACACACAAAAAAAAAAAACGCAAACTAAAGTTCAATGTGTCTCTACTACAACCACCACCTGCCCCAAAAACAATTTTCAAATTCAACTTCAACTACCGCTCTATCCTTAAGATCTTTCTATATATGTATATCCGCTACCCCATCACCTTCATGCCCCCTCCCCTCACAAAACATACAAAGTGCTTCTTCAATGACAAAATCAAATTGAATTGTGACTCGAATTTTAAATTGGAAAAAAACGTATAAAACTAAACAACAACAAATCTTAAGAATAAAATTAAATTTTGGTTTAGATATAGAAGCTAAGAATTTTGGACTCCATAAATACGAGCAGCATACTGGAATCAATATGAATATATATTTTCATAATCCTATATCTAATTTGAGTAAAAAAAAAGCCCTTGATTTGTAAGAAAGATGGATATTTATTTTTTGTTTGAAAATGATTTTAGTTTTAGTTTTTAGTTTTAATCTCCCCTGCCCCTTAATGTAAAGCAAATTCAAGTTTAATATAACAAAAGCAAAATATGAGGAAAATATGTGGAAAACAAATAAAGAACAATTTTGAACAAAATGTGTAACAAATAAGCAGAAATTTGTTTAATTATTTAGGGTAGTTCTTTGAAATTTTATTCATTTTACTTTTTGCAAATGAAAAGGAGTACGAGTACGAGTACCTTTTCCCTTTTCAGATTTAGTTTGGAATATTTTTCATAATTTGTTGATTGGGGAAAGAGAGAGAGAGAGAGGAGCCACAACAAGCAGACCATTTCGCCACAGGACATGAATTCGTGTACGCATATTCGTCCTTTTGGCAGGACACGCAACACACTTTGGGAATTAATTAACGCAAATCCCCCAGACGAAGTCAAAACTGAACTTGCAACACATGTGCATGTGTGTGTCTGAATTGTTGGATGGGTGGATATATTTGTTTGTTGTGTCCACATCCTGCGGCGAAACTTGTCACAGACTAATTTCGTGTCTCAGCTCATAAATTGATATTAATGAGCCTTCCGCCCCTCGCCACACACAGGCTGTCGGGGCGGGGCACATTCTCATTTCTTTTCGCGTACATTTAACATTTTGTTTTTGTTTTTGGTTTGGTTCGGTTCGTTACGTTCTCTGACAGTTACAAAGCGGCATGTAGATGGGTAATTTGAGCAGGACACCAGCGTCCTGTGGCTCTGTCGACATGAATACGGCACTGATGCGTGTGTGTTTGTTTGTGTGTGTGTGTCTGCTCCCTAGAGGGACTTTGACACATTTTGCTGTAAACATAAATTGAATGTTTAATTTGTGTGTCTTCCTTGAAGTACAATGTACATAAGAGAAAAATTGTTGTAAGCATCTCAGTATCTGTTTCTTGACCACTCGCACGGGTAAGGAGAAGAAAACTGAGCGCCCCGGTGCTGGCATCACTGGAAGATGCCTTCCCAGAGGACGAGAGGGGTACTATTTGCCATTGCTAAATATATGTACCTTGATCCGCGAGGACTTCAAAGCCTCGTAACTACACTCAGGCTCGTACACCCCCATCCGGACAACTAAGTGCCATATTGGCCAATGCGTGGCATCGTGAGGGGCCGGGTCCGGGGTGGGAAATCGGCTCTGCCCCGCAATTTTTTAGATTGAAAAGTTTCACTTTCACATGAAAACGACAAGTAAAGCCGTTGTTTATTAATAGATTATTGAGTACTGAATCAATAATCCCTCGCGCCCCGACATTTGTGGCCTCCTCTCCCGCCCGCAATAATTTTCCGGAATTATCACTGTCAATGCCAAAGATTCAATTGTAACAAACATTTTTGATGACGTCAAGTACAATGATTTGCTGCCACTTACGCTTTCCGTTCGAGTGTAATTATATTTGTGGGATTCCGCTTTGCTGGCACTTTCGTTTACCGCCATTAGCAAAGCTCTTTGCTCGCATTTTTGGCTTGTCACCAGACTTGACCCACCGACCAAACCGACAAACAATCAAGATCTCATTACTGCCTGTCCATCCGACCGGCAGTCCGTAGACCCTTGTCAGGTTGCTGTCTCTCGTTTCAGAAAAAACAGACAAACGAACATTCATTGGGCCGTGCTTGTACCGTGTGTGGAACAATGCTAATCCATTCGATATGGCATGCTAGCCCGGATTAGCTACCAATTCCACATCCACATCCGCATATTGCAGAACTTGTTCTCTGACAATTTGAACTGCGATTGGGTATAAAAGCTTTGGCCCGACTGGCTAATAGCATCAGTCAACGCACTTCCTCCAATCTTTGAGAACGTTCGTCAAACACAAAACCCCAAAATAAATATCAACATGAAGGTGAGGCAACCTCGAAGAATCGAAGCTTTAGTTTGGGGACTGTTCCAAGAGAACTCTAACATCTTATGATCCTTTTTGCCTGTTTAGTTCCTCATCTGCTTGGCTCTCTTCATCGCCGCCGCCCAGGCTCATGTTGTGACCCCAGCCGTGGCCACCTATGCCGCTGCTCCGGCCCTGACCTACGCTGCTGCACCATCCCTGGCCTATGCCGCACCGGTGACCACCTATGCCGCTGCCTATCCACGTGCCTACTCCGCCTATGCCCCTTCGGTCTACTCCTCAGCGTATCTGGGATCGCCCTCGGTCTATTCGGCATATGCTGCTCCCGTCACCACCTATGCCGCTGGTCCCGCTGTGGTCTCCACCTTGCTGAAGAAGTAAGCGCATTGAATCAATCAAATATAAAATGGAATTGTGTCAACGATAAATGCAAAATAACATTGTGAACAAATAAAATTAAAATTTGGAAAAAGCTTGAAAAATATTCGAGAACTGATAGGATTCTTCGGAAAGATAGGCACTAAATATGAAGAGATGCTCTGAAGGATTGCAATTCATTCCTTTACATATCCTACAAGTCTTGGTATTCGCTCAACAGAGCTAAGGATTCATGTTGCAACACACATAACTTCCAGGGCCACTCACAACATTCCTGCTGTTATGCCTGGCTAAGGTTATGCTTCCATTTGCCATGCATGACACCCCCGGCAGTCCTGCAGCTGTCTCGGGCTAACTGTTTACGGTTAATTCCTTGGCATAAATAATTTATTTAAAACTTGGTTTAGACGCCTGGCACGCCAGGCTCATGCTACAGCATCCGCATGCCCGTTAATGTTATGCAAATGAATTATTACTGAACGGGTCTAGGACTGTGACTGCGACAGCCACGTGCACACACACACACACACACACACACACACACTCACGCACATGAGGAGGCAGTCATCGTGTCGTCCTCATGACATAATCCTCGGCATAAGCACCACATAAACATGGATGGAAGTGCCTAGCTGGGCAGCAAAGTAATCGCACAAGTAAATTTATTGATTGCTTCACAATGCACTTATAGCAGAGTCGAGAGCAGCTCTTCTACGGGTAAAAGTATTCCCCCACATTTGATCAACTTCCGCCAAAACGATTATGCGCAACAACAAAAGTTTTCCTCGCTACATTTCCGGTGAAAAACTTTAGCCTAAATCACTTAGACCTCTTCTTTGAGGTCTTTGAACCACCCCACTACACCCCATATTCCCGCAGCCAAAAAACAAGGTTCGGCACGTCGAAAAATCACACAGTGGGTGGGACGAAAGGCAAGCCAGCTGGGGTGTTGGGTTGAGTGAGTGTGAAAACTTTAGAAAGTTTGCAGTCAGCAGCAAACAGCAACAGTCAACAGTTGTGAAATCTAGATATGTTTCCATTTATGATAAACGTTCTGTCAGGAGAGAGCCCGAGCTCCAGTCCGAGTCTTGGTGGGAGTGTCTGACTTCTGACAGAGTATTTTAAATAATTAATCAACGTTTTACTACAGGTCTTGCCCAGTAAATATTTAATTAGCCATTTTGGGCAATGACAGTTTCAAAAATTTATACGCACTGACAAATGTATTTGGTCAGGATTCTGGACTCAGATACGACTACCAGTAGCTCACTCCTGCTACGTTTGCTACGCAAATAAATTATTCAGAGAAAAGTCAGCAGAGAAAATAGAAAGGTTTCTTCGTGTCGAACGGAAATAGATGGAAATTGTGAATAAATTATTAATGAAAAACCTGCCAGCAATTAAGTGACCAAAACAACCAACTAAAGTGAAAGATTATGTGTGTAAATGTTATTGGAAAACAAACAAAGACGTTTGACTGTGAACAGTCATAGGGGGAATGCAATAGAACCCATTCGCATAATGATTTTCCGCCCAGCTGCACTTTAGTTACTCGTTTGTCTTTCAGCTTACAGACTACAGGTTACTACAGACTACAGGCAACAAGGACGTGCCATTCCTGAATGGAATCAACAATGTCAATGGTAAACAACGGGGTACAGTCCTTATAAAATCCTTGGCAGTCACCACTCGAGACGCAGCAAAATGTCCGGGAAGATGTTTGATATGCACTTCACCAGGACTTGGGCTTAATTACAACAGAACAATAATAAATGTATACGTACATTATGCACATAAAATACTCGTACATACACATATATACATATGTATACGACAAACAACTTTCAATGGAAATGGTGGGAATGGAAAAGGGAAACAAATATCGGATTATTTCTGCTTACAGAAAGAGCCTTTCCTCTCTGTCGCCTCTCGATTGTTGTTTGCTATTCGGTCCACTTCTTGGCTCCGATTTGCAATTCCATTTGAATCGAGGCATCCTCCCCTCTGGGGCACGAGAGTATCCTGTAGTTACAGCAGAAGGCGTGGGGCAAAGCTCTTGTCAAGTCATCGATTCCGTTTGCATTATTATTTCATATTTCTTGGCTCTATTAATGGGTGGGGGGTGAAATGAGAACAATTGCCATGGCAGCGGCGCAAGGATATTGCCTGGCACAAAGAAACAAGTTCCGATGTGATTGATAATTCAAACCGATGAGTCGATTGCCGGTGCGCCGTTTGAGTTAATGAGAAGTCTTTGATTTTATTAGATTAAATTGAAAATTTAGTTATGAAATTCTCAGAAATCTCACTGGATGAAAACTGACTTCATCTTTATGTAAGTATGCACATATGTACATGTGTCCATATGTATGCCGTTTGCTAAGTCCTTCGACCCGAATTACTATTTCATTATAAAATATATAAAGTGCAAAAGCTTTGTGTTCTTGTTTAAATTAATAAAACATTCAGCCGGGTTGAGCACACTTTACTGTGCAAACAAACTAAAATTAACTAAAAATTTTGCACAAGTGGCAACAGAAGAAGAAGCACCCATCAGCGGCAGCGGCAGCAGCCAGCAGCAGCAGTACAAGTAGCAGCCAGCAGCAGTAGAAACATTAAGCAAACAGCCGAAAAGTATGCTTCAACTTTGGGCATTACATAAATTCCACACACACACACAGGCACACATAAACACATCATAAGGAAGAGCAGGAAAAGCACATGAAAGCAAGCTGTAGGAAAGGATGGAAGGAAGCCAGCAAACAACGATAACATTTATCACGAAGACACTTAAGGCTGACTGAAAATGGGGTGAAATGCAGGAGGAGAGACAAAGAGACGACAGAGGCAGCCATGAGGTTTGTTAAATCAATTTGATAAACTGTCAATAATGAGAAATAATTTAATGCGTAGAGCCAGACTCCATGTCTAACCAACGACCCACGACCTACGCCTCCTCCCACGACCCACGACCCACGCCACCTCCCACTACCCTCTCTCGTAGCTCGAAAACAGATTTCCTCTGACTGCTCGTCATAAGCCATTATGAGGAACTTGAGCGGCCTCCTGCCACTCATTCGCACTCCTACCACTGCAGTGGTGGCTGCTCCTATTAGCACTTGGGGAAGTTGAGACAAATTTTTGGTTGCCTGGACAAGCAAAAGCCGAGATTTATCAAAGATATCATTGAGATGGACCAGTCAACAGCCAACAATAACGAAAAGTGTCAACAGAAGCGGGAAAAGTGCGAGATGGATGGGAGTAGGAGTAGGTAGGCCAAGAGCTGGCAAAAAGCAAAAGAAGCAGCTAGATAACAAGGCCAAAATGTCTTCGAAGCTGCCTTAAATGGTGGGTGACGTGGAGGGAGTCGACTGAATGGTGACGACAATGACGATGTCTGTGCGTGCGTGCCCCAAATCCTTTTGTGCGGGCTGTTGGAAACGACCTTCATAAAACAAACACGCCGATAATGAGAGAACAGTCGTGGGTTCTCGTTCTCCCTCCCTCGTTCTCCCACAAGAGTAAGCGAAATTCAGGCCCCATTTGGTGCCAGTCCCGATCCTGTGCCAACAATTTGCCTGCGACTGCCATGGCTTTCAACTCAACGGATGATTCCTTTGGCCCCCATTCCCTTTGCGAGTGCAACTAACTATGCGATAATCGGCATTTGATTTGGTGCCAGCGGCAAACTTTTCTCAAGAGTTCTTCCACCATAGGACAGCAGATTGGTAAGTCAACTCTGCCCCTGCTCAAATCCCCTGAGTTGTATGATAAAGGGTTACGTTGCCCCAAGGCCTTCATTAAATCGATTTGGTTTGATGAAATTTTAGAGGTTCACAAAGATGGAAGTTCTGTGTAGCTTTGTAAGGTAGAATGGTAATGATGTGTGCCACCGTCAATGGGATACGGGGGATTACATTCAAAGTTTGTTGTAAGGGCAGGCGACGGCGCTTACGAGGCTTATGAAGTTCCACCGGATAAATGATTCTGACTGCTGTCAACTTTATGCTATAGTTTCAGCCAGAAACTTTAGAAACTCTTTGGGTATTCAACCAGTGAAAGGTTGTGGGAGAGCTTCAGCAGTAAAATGAAGACGCAACGAAAGATTCTGCCTGAAAGATATCTTCCTGCTTAAGCGGTTGTCTTTATTTTCAAATTCTCTCAATACAGATGCCTAATCTAAAGCCAAAGTCAAAGGCCGAAGATACGCCACAGCGCATACGAAGGGGAAGGGAAACAGTAAGACAAAAAATGTGTCTATTTTCGTATGTACTCTTACTCGTATGTAAATTCCATCACTTTGATGCTCTCCACTCAAGGCAATCTCCTGGCATTACCTCCTCCTATGATATATGTCTGTAAAGCATACGATACGGTTGCCCCAACCGCAAAGATATCTGTTTACATTCAACTTTGCTTTGGTTTGCTTCGCTTTGCACTCGGCTTTAATCAAATAATTTTTACCTTTCTACCTGAGGAAGGAATTTGTTAGCAGGGAACATACTTTTTATTTGAACTCTTTTTGCCTTTGCCTTTGCCTTTGGACCATTAAGCCAGTTAAGGAGCGGAAGTCATGTTAGCTCCGGCCTGCCACGCCTGTCTGCCAGCCCCTGACTTCCTGTCCCGCACCCTGCTCTCCACCTGCTAAATTTGCATAAAAGATGCTTTTCACTTTTCCAGCAAAAGAAATGAAAACTCTTCCAGCAAATATCTCAGGTCTGCTTCCTATTCCCCCTCCACCCACCATGACGGGCTGCCCGGGAAAAGTGAAGAAGTGAAATATTTTTCGGAGCAACAAGGCAGCGAAACGAAATGAAAAACTAAGAGAAATTGTAAACTAAACAGCAAAGGAGGCCAAAGAGGAGAGGAGACACAAACAACAACAAAAAGGGAAATAGCAACACATGGAATTTTACATTTTATTTTTTTTCGTTTGGGTTTTTTTCATTTATTTTTTCGTATCTGTTTGGTTGCTGTCGTGTGGAATTAACTTAACGGAAACGGAAATGGAAAATGGAAATGGAAGCTGCTGCACACGACCATATGGCCGGGGTCATGGCGGAGCCGCAGCAGTAGCCGGAGCCCACAGATGATCATTGCCAGCTGTTGCACTTCACTAAGTATCTCTGAATCGGTCCCTTTGTTGTGGCTTCACCCCTGGGGCTCTCGTAGTCATCCACCATCCATCACATGGGGCTCTTATAAGCATCGCGTATGGTTGCTCATTAGGCACTCTTAATTATCCAATGAGAGCAGAGTGCTTTGCTGGAGCTCAGAATCCGACTCTCTCTGGTGGCGACGCGGCCTCGACCTTAGCACCTGCCAATAGTTGCAGCAGTAAATGAAGAGAGCTGTGAAAGAAGAGCACAAGAAAAAGTCATCAAGTTAGCTTTACCCAACGCCGTTCACTCACTTATGATGCTGAGTAGCATCCAGGTTAAGGTGGCAATGATCATCATCAGGTTGCTCTGAGACCTTTCCTCGTCTGATGCTACATTGTATAATGGAATTTACATCACTTGTCTTGTGGATGTCATTAGAGTGGATGACTGTACCTTTAAGATCTGTGACACTTTCATTGTTTGCCGTCGAATTGGAAAGCATTACTGTTCCCTCAAACCGTTCGTTGTGGACTGGGCTCTCTTCAATCGCTTCAAAATCCACTTTATTAGCCAGTCCCGAACAGCTGTGCTTTTATCTGTCGTTAAACATGTCGCCAGCCATTTTAGCATTAATTCTGTTTGAAACTCAGCTGTTTCTCTTTTAGTAATAGGAATTCTTCGAATCATTCGTCGAATGGAAATATTTATGTACAGCTTTGTCAAGGGGGTAATAAAGAAAATGTGGAATTTATAATGAACCCTCGAAGTTCATTGCGAAGCTCCATTTGAGAGCCTTACTTCTACGTTTTGGTGTCTTACTTGAGTGATGTCTCTTCTGAAATACCTATCCTTTCCTGTCCTTTCCTTTATCATTTACTTCAAGCTGTCAAACTTTCTTGTTCACTTTAGTCTCTTTCAATTGCATGTACCGCATTAATTTCATTCGGTTTTCTATTTATACAAACTCTTACCTCATTCGAGTTTCTGCCAGTGGCTTCTCATTGCCAGCCACCCTCAGTCCCATGCCTGCCAGCCTGCTCACCTTTACCAATTGCAACTGTTATTGGAGGCGTTGCTGTTTATCATTTGCCGCATTGCATGACTCCAGCTCGTATATCAATATCGGGATGGGGTGGGGGCAAACCATCACTTCGGGGCTGCCATTGACACGCCGAAATAAAGAGAAACCGAAAGAGCCACTAATAAAAAGCAAACTTGCATTTATGGCCAAAACAAACAAATATTATTGACAAAATTATGGCCGGCGCCCAAAACTACGAGTAAATACAAAAAAGCAATATAAAATATTGTTATAAAATGTTCGCATTTTGTTGCATACTTCGAGTTTGGTTGGAATGTTTCGTGACTTCGTGTGTGGAGGGTAGCAATAGGCGTATCGGGTGCCATACTTGCCTTGAGTTTACCCCCCCCCACTAATCGTTTTCGGCAAACATCCGTTTCGATTCGAGTACTGAATCCGCGCTTTGCTGCAACCTCGAACTTTGTACGTTTCGGTGCTTTCCGCCTTCGACATGACACCCGTATCCGGCGGATACGATTTGTGTTTGCCTGTTGTGGCAATCCAGATATGTCACGACGGGGGGAGAAGGAGACGACAAGAGATGCCACTCTGTTTAAATACGTTTTGTGTCTTTAGAAGGCTGAACTTCTGCTAATTGTACCTACACGTGGAGCAGATTTGATTCAAAAATAAAATAATGTGAATGAAAGCGCCTTTCACATGAAGGGTTGCCTTTGCCACACATCATTTGTCATATAAACGGCATATTCATCAACGTAATTATGAGCATCTTCCCCTCTAACATATCTTCCCTTTGAGGAGCCGCAAAAAGTGAAGCATTTCACAATCCGAGCCAAGTCAAAGGCAAGCACCATCAGGCTACAATTCAAAGAAAGCCACATAAATGCCTTCCCCCACAATCTTCTGCTGCTGTTGCCTTTTCAATGAATGATGAATGCTTGATGTCTCGCTCCCCCTTTTCACTCCAGTGCAGTGTGTGCGTGTGTCTGTGTAATCTGTGGCGTAATGAAATTATATATTTAAGCTGGCAATGGCTGAATGGGCCAGGATACTGAGCAATGGCCAGAAGCAGGCACATGGTGGCATGACGAGTGGAAAAAGGGCACACATTTGCATGCATAACTTTGTGCCATATGTTGCATAAAATGTTGCTGCGGAGGCCATGGCTCCTTAATCCTATTGCGAGCATTATGTTGGAGATTAGAATTAAGGACGCGCTCGCCACTGCAACAACAAGAGCTGTAACTGCTGGCGGATTATCTGACTGTTGCCTAACACTGGCAGCGTCATCATAAGAGAAAAGACGTCTCTCAGTTCAGCAGCAGCATCCCAAAATCACTTGGAACGTGCTGACACCTTGGCAACAAAAAAAGTTACCAACTATGCGCAGTGCTGCCTTTAGCCGAATACCGAGTCGAGACCGTACTCGTGTTTGCTGTCAAATCAGAATTTATTTTGGCAATGCATTCGATTTTGGCAATTTGGACCAGTCCAGTCCATGGCCGGTGGAAGGTGCTCTGCAGCACGTGGCACGTGAGCGGTGTCCACAAATATACTCGTAGATGTACAGAAAAGTATTGCAGTTTTCTTCGGAGTTGGGAATAAAGTGTTTTATTTCATCTACAAAAGTTGCAAGGAGAGTCCGACTTGGTTTGGCTCTAACGACAAAACTTCAATTGTGGAGTGCCGAAAAGACAGCTAAGCACACTACGAGGGCAGCAGAAGAGAGACTAGATCAGGTTAGAGCAATGTGAATAAGCTTAAAGAATGGAAAATTATAGTACGGAATGGCCAATAGCCAAAACAAATTTAGTCAGAAGGAATATATTGTAAATAATCTATAAATTAAGCAGTAATAATAAGCGGAATAAATAGTAACGATAACAAACTGAAAAAACCACTTAAATGGGGAATCCAGTTTAATCTAGAATTAAACAAAGAAGTTTATGATTTTAAGCAAAAGACCCCGAATTTCCATAAAAAAACAGACAAGCAAAAAATCGTGAATACGTTTAAACCACTGAACCTTAAATTCTATGGATAACCATGAAGAAATTACAGCACGACCACAAACTACATAAATGGCAGACGCTTTCAAGCGTCAGTGCAACAATTTTTAATTATTATTTGGGCGCTTCAATGAGCATTACGAAAAAAAATGCTAGAGCAAAAAAGTCATGGAGTGAAAGAGAAGAGGGAGACGAACCCAGAGATGTGTATGCAGATAGAGAAAATTGCTGCCAGCACTTTGGACTCGACTTTTTCTGATATATTTTTCTGGTACATTTTTTTCTTCCTTTTCTTGCCAGCATTTAAAAAAATTAAAAAGCAAACAGAAATTACACAAAAAAAAAAAAGGAGGAGAATAAAAAAGGAAGAGGAAAGGGGAGGAACAAACGCCAGGGAAATTAAGTCAATGTCCTGCGGGTTCAGTTGCGTTTTGGATAAATGTAATTAACCTTCAGGATCAGAATCATTGAGTTGGGTCTCCGTCTACACCCCGCACCGCACCCTTGAGCGACAGGCAGACAGACAGACAGATGGAGAGATGGGGCGAGCATGAGAGCTGAGATGGACAAAAAAAAAAATAATCTTGATTATTTCGTGTAAATGATGGGTTAACATATTCTCGCCATCTCTGGAAAGGGAGATCCTATCCCTATCCCTAACCCTAACCCAGAGTACATCCCCACATAAATGAGCGGAGAGTACTACGAGTGAGATTTACTCTGTGTCTTGAGCAATTCATCACTTTAAATAGACCACGAACCACATCGTTAGGGCAGTCGCCTTGCAAATTAATTACAATCGAAGCGGAAGGTGCAAAACTCAAGGGACGTCTGCAGCAATGTGGCAATCGGAATGAACGGGGCGTGGCGGAGGAGAGGAACACACACACAAATAGCACATCTAAGGAGGCAAGAACCCTAAATCGGGTGGCTGAAGCTATACGAGTTGGCCAACAATGGAAGCATTTGTGTAATTACCTTTGGTCACACTCACACACACACACACACAGATACAACCACACAGACTCACACATATGAAGATGGTCACACACACATAATTAACTCGATAATGAGGACAAAAGCAGTATCCGTGTGTAGTCAAAGCCAGCAATACCCCAGACCCAGAGCCAAACTCGGAACCCAAGCCCGGAACACCGCCCAAGTTGTCGCAAATGTATGTAATGGTGTGTTACAGTTGTTGTTACTGCGGTTTTCCAGAGGGGTTGGGGTTGGGTTGGAGAGGATAGGTATGTTTAGGGATACGATATACCCACATCTCTATTAGGCTTTGTTTGCCACGATAATGACTTCCGCTTCGACAGAGCCGAGAATGACACAACCGGAATTTGTAATTGCTTTTAAGCGTTTCCCCATTCTGGAACTGAATTTCCACTTGCCTTTGATTTTTAGCCAAAGGGAAAAAGCTCCCTCTCCCCCTCGCCTTCTGCCTGCTGAGGAATGTGCCCCCCAAACGTAGCTGCATGTGTGTGCTTGTCGCAAAGAATGTTTTGCCTGAAAATGTTATACGCATTTGACCCGAATGTCGTACAGGGAAAAGAAAATTCTAAAAGCGAGCAAAAGGTGTGAAAAACTATGCAGCAGGCACCGAAGACTGGGAGACGGAAGACTGGGAAGGTGCGGACACTACAAAGTGTTGGTTATGCTAATTCCCCTAATAGTCGAAGCAGGGAAGAAGCCAACATTGATATTTAGGGCTTGCCGTAATTGTTAGCGCCCATTTGCAGTCGCAAATAAGTATGGAAGGAACAGGAATAACTAAAGGGTCGAATGGTAAGGAGTACCTTCCATATCAAAGCTTTCCTAAATCTTCCCACCCAGTAAACTCTCCTCAAACCTCACTTACCTCTCTACTCATCTCTTATGATTTTGTATTATTTCATTAGAAGCTGAAATATAAGAATTCCAGAGAGAATTCCGCCAAGGGTTAGGCTTAAATATTTCATGATTAGCAGCAATTGAAAAGCACATTACCCAAGCAAGTCTAATTCCTCCAGAGATGGCACAGAAGGCACAGCAAACCTGCTCCACATTTATAGCATTTTACATTCCAATTGCCATTTGCCAGCCAGCCTGAAAAAGAGGGGCTAGAAGAGAGAGAACTGAGTGAGTGGTGAACCCCGTTTGATTGCGGTAAAATGCTAATTAACAGAGCATTGGACTCGCTGTGCTCCAGTTTTCCGAGGAAAACTTTAACCGACTGACAAATGACCCTGGGGACCCTGGGGACGATTGAGAGAAGTTGGACGACGAACAATGCCGCAGACTTAAACGCCTTTGCTTTAAAATCTCGTTTCTGAGAACTCTTTAACGTGGCCTAAATATTAATGGCCGCATTACGTATACGCTGCGAGAGCCCATGAGCCGACCTGCCCAGGGAATAATCGGTCTTAAATTTATATCAAAATATATATATTAAATATTCTCTTGCAGCGCAGTCGGCGCACTTTGCTTTAATATTTATAGCAATGTCCCTGGAGTACCGAA